TTCAGTCCTTGAAACCATCCCACCACATCTCCAGTATCCAATCTTTATGTTAGTAATAGAAATATTCCAAATAGATGGAAGAAACTGATACTGGAGTCAAGTTCAGAGAAACTAAAATGCATGTGAGTCAGATGGAGGGAAGTGCTAATAAAATCCAGCTTTCTATATGCAGTTTATGCAGGAATTTGAGGTGTCCCTTTGGTCATGCACTAAAAAAAATGTTAAAATGGGAGGTGTGTTTTGTCAGTAGAAATGCTGTGGTTATTTTAGATTCCTGACTTCTATTTAAGCATATTAAGAAATAAGGTCATGATATTTTGAAAGTGCTTGCTGCTGCAGTTTATGTCTTTTGCTTATGGAAGTCTGAATTTTTCTTTCCTTGGGTCTATGGTAACTTCTGTATTGAAATTTTAAATACAACCAAAGGTCCTCTGCAGAAAATCACAATATCCGTTTTTCTTAGATCTAACTTGCAGATGTTCAAATAAAATAGCTAGCACATTTAGAATTTGAAGGGGTGTATCTGGTCTTCCCCGATTAAGCACAAGTGCCTTGATCATTCATGTAGCAATTTCACTTCGGCATTCTCACTGTACAACTACTGTACTTCTTAATTCCTTACTTTTTATGGATGTAACATAAAAAACTTGTATCTCTTTGGTTTGGTAGTCTTTGCAAGTCTCAGTGGTTTTGGCTGTCTTGTCTATATATATACACACACCTTTTTTATCTGCAATTTAGGATAATTTCCATCTTCACCTTTTCTAATTTACTTGAACCCTTCAGATCAATTGACTTCAGTAATAACTATTCTTTCTTAGCCTCATGTTCAGTTTAAACTGAAACAACCCTTTTGTCAATCCATGGTTATTTCTTATGATAAATTCTTCTATAGTGTTCTTAGCAGTTCCTAGAGCAAAACCAAGGTACAATTATATGTTGTTGGCTAGTGAAAAATTGTTGAGAAAGTAATGAAGGTCTCTTATGACCATGATGTGGTGTCAACAGCCAGGAATATCTGCATCACAGTATCACAGAATGGTTGAGGTTGGAAGAGTCCTCTGGAGGTCATCTGATCCAACCCCCCTGCTCAAGCAGGATCACCTCAAGGCAGGAGCTTCAGGCTATGTCCAGACAGCTTTTGAATATCTCCAAGAATGTAAACTGCAACCTCCCTGGACAACCTGTGGCAGTGCTTCATTACCCTCACAGTAAAAAAGGGTTTTCACATAAAAAAAGCCTGTCTTTCTCCACTTTGCAGTTCTCCTTTGGGTATTGATTATACTCCTGAGCCTTCTCTTTTCTAGGCTAAACATTCCCAGCTCTCTCAACCTTTCCTCACATGAGACATGCTCCAGTCCCTTAAACATCTTTATGGGCCTTTGTTGAACTCTCTCTAGTATGTACATAGAACTCCATGTATAGCCTCCCCAGTGCTAAATAAAGGGCAAGGATCACTTTCATCATCCTGCTGTCAATACTCTGTCTAATGTACCTGAGGATACTGTTAGCCTTCTTTGCAGTAAAGATGCATTACACCTGATCGACCTGGTGGCTACCAGGATACCTGTGTCCTTTTTTGCCAAGCTGCTTTTATTTGTGCATAGTGTTGTTCTCCACAGGTGCAGGACTCTGTAATTCCCCTTGTTGAACTTCATGGGGTTCCTGTCAGCCCATTTCTCCATGCCATCTGGATAGCCACATAACACTCTGGTGTGTCAGCCACTGTTCCTAGTTTGGTGTAATTTTTAAACTTACAGAGGGTGCACTCTGCCCCATCATCCAGGTCATTAATGAAGATGTTAAACTGGACTGGATGGGTATTGATCGCTGAGGTATATGCTCATCTAGTCTGGCCTCCAACTAGACTTTTGACCACTGGTCACCACGCTCTGTGGCCAGCAACTCATCCTCTCTTCCATTCACCTTGCTGAATGCTCATACACCCTGTGCACCAACAGCTTCTCTATAAGGATCTTGTTGGAGGTCTTACTGAATTCTAGGTAAAAAATACCACTGCTCTCTCCTCATCTACTCAGTCGGTCGGTCCATTGTAGAAGTTTATTAATTTGGTCATAGAGTCGTCAGAGTTGGAAGGGACATCTGAAAATCATCTAGTCTAACCCCACTGCTACAGCAGGATCACCTACAGTAGATTACACAGGAAGTGTGTCAAGCATGACTTCCTCTTGGTGAATCCATGCTTTCTACTCCTCATTATTTTCTCATCCTTGATGTGTCTGTAAATGGTTTCCAGGATTAGGTGCTCCATCACCTTCCCAGGGATCCCAGTTAGGCTGACTAGCCTATGGTTCCCTTGGTCCTCTTTGTTGCCCTTCTTGAAGATCAAGGTGACACTTGCTTTCCTCCAGTTTTCTGGCACTTCTCCCATTGATCAACCTAAGATTATCAAGAGTGGCCTCAAAGTGAAATCTGCCAGGTCCCTCAGCACTGCTGGGTGCATCCCATCAGGGCCTATTTATATGTACCTGGTTTACTTAAGTATTCCCTGTCCTGGTTGATCCTCTTCCACTAAGTCTGTAACTTCCTTGCTCTAACCTTTCTCACTGATCTCTGGGACCTGGAATTCCTGAGGCCTATGAAGATGTTAAACTGGACTGGATGGGTATTGATCGCTGAGGTATATGCTCATCTAGTCTGGCCTCCAACTAGACTTTTGACCACTGGTCACCACGCTCTGTGGCCAGCAACTCATCCTCTCTTCCATTCACCTTGCTGAATGCTCATACACCCTGTGCACCAACAGCTTCTCTATAAGGATCTTGTTGGAGGTCTTACTGAATTCTAGGTAAAAAATACCACTGCTCTCTCCTCATCTACTCAGTCGGTCGGTCCATTGTAGAAGTTTATTAATTTGGTCATAGAGTCGTCAGAGTTGGAAGGGACATCTGAAAATCATCTAGTCTAACCCCACTGCTACAGCAGGATCACCTACAGTAGATTACACAGGAAGTGTGTCAAGCATGACTTCCTCTTGGTGAATCCATGCTTTCTACTCCTCATTATTTTCTCATCCTTGATGTGTCTGTAAATGGTTTCCAGGATTAGGTGCTCCATCACCTTCCCAGGGATCCCAGTTAGGCTGACTAGCCTATGGTTCCCTTGGTCCTCTTTGTTGCCCTTCTTGAAGATCAAGGTGACACTTGCTTTCCTCCAGTTTTCTGGCACTTCTCCCATTGATCAACCTAAGATTATCAAGAGTGGCCTCAAAGTGAAATCTGCCAGGTCCCTCAGCACTGCTGGGTGCATCCCATCAGGGCCTATTTATATGTACCTGGTTTACTTAAGTATTCCCTGTCCTGGTTGATCCTCTTCCACTAAGTCTGTAACTTCCTTGCTCTAACCTTTCTCACTGATCTCTGGGACCTGGAATTCCTGAGGCCTAGTCTTGCTAGTGAAGATCGAGGCAAGAAGGCATTCAATACTTCCACCTTTTCCATGTCCTGTGTAATGAAGTCCCCCATCTTGTTGAGGGACACATTTTCCCTAGTCTTCCTTTTGTCTCCTATGTACTTATGCCCTGCCTTTTTTTCATATTTATTTATTTATTTATTTATTTATTTGCATTTGACTTTGGCCAAGACCTCCTTGTTCATTCATGAAGGCCTCCTGACACTTTTTCCTGACTTCTTATTCACTACGATGGAGCTCTCTTGAGTGTGGAGGGGGTGATCCTTGAATATTAAGTGCTTTTCTGGGCCTCTGTTCCTTCTAGGACCTTATTCCAAGGGACTCTTCCAAGCAAATATTTGAAGAGGCCAAAGTCTACTCCTTTGAAGTCCAGGGTTCTGACCTTGCTTTTCACCCTGCTCCCTGGCCTCCTGATACTGAGCTCATGACCATCTCATGGTCACTGCAGCCAAGGCTTTCTTTTGACTTTCACATCTCAAACATGATCCTCCTTGTTGGCAGGTATAAGGTCCAGCAGAGCACGTCTCCTTGTTGGCTATTCTATCACTTGGAGGAAGAAATTACCAATGTACTCCAGGAGCCTCCTGGTTTGCTTGTGTCCTGCTGCATTGTCTCTCCAACAGATAACAAAGCTATTGAAGTCTCCAGTGAGGACTAGGGCCTGTGAACTTGAGGCTGTTCATAGCTGTCTATAGAAGGCCTCATCCACTTGTTCTGCTTGATTGGGTGACCTATAGCAGATACCCACTATACTATTCCATTTGCCTGTCCTCTCTTTAATCCTAAGCCATAAACTCTCCATCAGCTCCTCTTTTGTCCCCACACAGAGCTCCATGAGTTCCAGCTATATTACTCACATAAAGACCAACTCCTCTTCCATATCTTCCCTTCCTGTCCTTCCTAAAGCCTGTATCCCTCCACTGCAACACTTCAGTCCTTGAAACCATCCCACCACATCTCCAGTATCCAATCTTTATGTTAGTAATAGAAATATTCCAAATAGATGGAAGAAACTGATACTGGAGTCAAGTTCAGAGAAACTAAAATGCATGTGAGTCAGATGGAGGGAAGTGCTAATAAAATCCAGCTTTCTATATGCAGTTTATGCAGGAATTTGAGGTGTCCCTTTGGTCATGCACTAAAAAAAATGTTAAAATGGGAGGTGTGTTTTGTCAGGAGAAATGCTGTGGTTATTTTAGATTCCTGACTTCTATTTAAGCATATTAAGAAATAAGGTCATGATATTTTGAAAGTGCTTGCTGCTGCAGTTTATGTCTTTTGCTTATGGAAGTCTGAATTTTTTCAATAGGTTTGTGAATTTCTAGTTGAATTATTTAATGAGAGTTAGACATTAAACTGGGAACCAAGTCAGGCATAGAATTCAGGGACTTCTTGCCATGCCAAGTCCTTTTGTTGTTTCATTATACTCCTTTTTCTTGTAAACAAGTGTGTTTCCCTCACACATTATATTTACTGTGAAATTTGATCTTCAGTAAGTTAATCTTCAATGGTATTGCTTCTTATAGTAAGTTCTGAAAATGCTAATGTGAGTAATTTCTAATTCTTAGGCCAGTTTCTTTTGGGGCAGATGTCTTTGAATAATGAGATGATGCAGCAATCAGAAAGTGAAATAGCCTGGCCAGTGAAGTGCAAACAGACCATGAGTGATGATGAGGATGAAGAATTCCAGTTCTCAAATCTGATGGATCGGCTTGGGACTAAAAAGGTTTTGGATGAGTAAGTTTTCACAGCAATAATAACAGAGTGTATGGCCTTTTATGATTCAGCTCTGGGTTTGGTTTTAATGGAATCCAAGATGAATTATGAGAACTGAGTCTGCTCAGTAACACAGGGATTCTTTAAAAATTACTTGTCTTGGTTGTCAGAGATGGCAAAATGCAATTCCACCATGCTATTGTACTGCAGGCACGTGAAACGTGTGTTTGTGCTGGATGAAAACTATACCATTAATCCATCGATGTACCATGGGTTTTGAACATAGCTAATATCTAGCATGTAATCCACAGATGCCAGTGATTTTCAGTCAAACAATGCATGATGGCTGCTTTTTTAGCAAGGGCTATGTTTAAAGTACACCAGTTAACCATAATGTTTTCTCCCCTTTTTCTGCTTTTTCTCTCCTCCATGTGTGATTTCATGGTGTGATAGGTAACACTACCTCTTCCAGGAACAAGATGACTCACTTGAAACACAGAATTCAAAAACTTCTTTAAGAGCTGCTCGTGTGTTGGCCTGACATTCATTGGTCAATCACAATGAATACTATAGCTCAAAAAAAACATGGGGAAAAATGGAGAGAATCTGGAGACACAGTAGGAGTGTTCAAGAAATGCATCAGTGATCCTTACCATGAAATTAAAGTGCTCTTCAGTGCTTCTCTTCACCTGATTGCCTGTTAGAGGAAAGAGTTGATTGCCAGTCATCCTGAAAGGCTTTCATTATTAAGAGATTTTTATCGCCCACTCTTTCTATCCTTATCCTCACTTGTCCTTTAAATACAGCACTCTTTACTGCCTAGATTCAAGCTTACAATGTGCATGGAAGAGAGTGAGTCACAAAGAGACAAACAAAAGAAGTTACTCAGCAGAATTTTGGCAAAGTACTAAAAAAACCCATTATCAGTCAGAGTAGAACATGTTTGTTCCAGTAACAGCTGAGCAGATTTGGAAAAAAAAGCCCCGTTTTCTTGGTAAATCTTTACATCAAATTTTTCAAGATGTCATGTTCTGATTTTTGTAGTAGTCTCACTGTAGAATTAAGCTGGGTTGAAAATGAAAGAAGACAGTACAAATGTAGTTTGTTAACTTCTTTGTGTAATATAGGCTATTGAGTCTCATTCATTCCTCATGAGGAAGTGTTTTTTATTAGTTTTACTATTGCGCCCTCCCACTGGATTCATAGGAACTTCTTTAATTCTAATAGAAGTGACAGAGTGCTACAGTGTACCTCCTCTCTCTCCTGTCTTGTCCAATCTTGTTCAGATGAAGTGTCTGGCAAGGCACTCACTGAACTAGCAGTTCCTGTGATTCTCTGCAGTCATGCATAGCCAAACTTTGCAATGCATTTTTTTTTAAATAAGTGCAATTTCCATCACTTCCCACCCACCTCATCCTTTTCAAATGTGTCACTGCCTAAGTAGCCTGTGTTTTTAATAAGCCTTGTGTTCTGAAGAGTGATGCCCTAAAGCTTTAATCCGCTAGGGTGCTGTGAACATTAATTACAGCCTGAGAAATATCTTAATGAATCCTTTATGATCTCTTATTTCAGTGAGAGTGATGTGAAACAACTTTGGTTGCAGCTGAGAAAAGATGAACCTCATTTACTTTCCAATTTTGAAGAGTTTCTGGTCAGAATTTTTTCCCAGCTCCAAGAAGCAGATAAGGAAAAGAACGAGTTGGAATGTGCTCTAAAAAAGTTAGTACTTCTTGTTATTGGACTGTTTGTGTATCTTACCTACCATCTGCACATTGGAAATAAGCAAGGTATTTCTATGAAGAGCTATAACTGCAAGTGTTCCTGTAATGTAAAATTGTATTAGTCGTGAAAAGTACCAGTAAAATTATTTATAATGCAGAACTATCTGAAATTAGCTTTTCTCTTAGAGTTAGCAGATTTTGTTGACTGAAATTCATTTGCAGATGCCCATTATTGCATTGCAGTTTTAAGTCAATATTAAGCAATTAACTTCTAGTTAATCAGTTTTATTCCAGAGGACAGTCAGATTTACCAGTAAATCTGGGAAATTGTCTTTGTGCTTTGCAAATATAGTGCACAGAAAAGCTATAAATGTAGGTTAACTGGCCAGAATGAGAGCTTTAAGATCTTAAAGCAGCACAAAGCACTGATACCAGTGAAAATATAAGTTAACAAATATATATAAAAACCAAACATATTAAATATAACAATATGTATTGGATTCATATATAAAAGCATATATATAATGTGTATATATATAAACAAATTTATAAAACACATATTAAAGCAAATATATAAGTTAATGTCTCTCAGTCTCACCTGGCTGCAGCTGGGTGTCCCTTTGTCCTGGTCCTTAATTCTGGAGAACTGATCTCTGGCAGGCATCCCCACTGGAGAGAAGAAGGTCCAGCAGCCTTCTGGAAAAGCAGAAAAGGGAGTCCCTGATTAAATATGGGACCAGGCTTTTGTAGAATAAAGTGGACTGGCTGCTGTCATGTAACTATTTAGCCATATCTCCAAAATCTTTTGTTGGAGAATAAAAGGAAAACAGTGGAAGAAGCCAAGAAGGCCCTGTTCTCACCAAGCAAACTCTTTTGTTTATCTGTTTATTCTTATTTTGCCTACATTTCAAGCCTAGCTGTGGCTGGGCTGGGCTCTATGTTCTATAAAGTGGAAACAGAATATGTAGAGCATTAAGTATAAAAAAAATACGGTAGATACCCAGATTACAAAATTAATGTTGTTTTTTGGTTGTTTTTTTTTCTAGTATATATTCATTGTCTTGCTCTTATTGATGTGAATACCCTAGGAGATCATGTACTTTATATATATATATTTGTACTTTATTTAATTGTAACATATGGAGGAATATACTGTAGTGTTGTATAAAGAGTTTATTAATCTCTATTCAAAATCTTTCTAGGATGTCTGTAGATGAGCTAGATGCAGAGGGATTTTTGCTTTTCAGTCTCTGGAGAGGTAAAAGGAGAGGAGAGCAGAGGAGAGCAGAGGAGAGCAGAGGAGAGGAGAGGAGAGGAGAGGAGAAAGGGGAAGAGAAAGGAAGAGAAGAGAAGAGAAGGGAAGAAAAGCAGAATAAAGCAGCTCTCTTGTTCCCTTTCAACAGCTAATTTTTTTCTACCCAAACTAAAGCACCTGCTCAATGTAATCTTTCATGTATCAAAATGCAGTAATATTAATTGAAATATTCTACTGGGAAAAGTGAGCTTTGTAAGTCCTGTTTTCCTACATTTGGATACACTCGTACACAGTATATTTATTCCTGTTCATCAGCAGGGCTTTTCATATTTGTTTCAGCAAAGCTGTTAAAGAGACAGTAAGACGGCATTCAAGAGGTGTGTTCTAGCTAAAGCATCTTTGACATGACAAAAGCACATCTTTCAATGCTCTTGAATGAGGTGAATAATGCAATCCCAGAGATAAAAAAATTGAAGTTGCAATGAAAATACTTCAGCTAGAAAAGTCAGGCTCTGGTATTCTTAGGATAGTCACCGGGAAGGTCTGTTCCTTAAATGTAGGATTTAGCAGTCATTAAAACAGCTGCTTTATATGGAAACATTATCTGTGCAGCTTTATTAGCCTTTGAGCTGTTGAAGCTTTCCTTCCATTAAAAAAAAAATAATAAAAGGAAAAAAAAAGTATGACCTATGACCTTTCCTGCACAAAAATTCCTAATTTCTTATCCCTGCAAGATTCTCTGGAATCTTGTGTTAAGGCAGAAATGTAGGGCTTAGCTTGCAATGTGAGCCATGACTTGAAGCAAAGCTACAAAGGCCCACTCAATATACTTTTCTGTCTTATTAGAAAAATTGCTGCTTATGATGAAGAAATTCAACATCTCTATGAGGAAATGGAACAGCAAATAAAAAAGGAGAAAGAGCAGTTTCTCTTGAAAGTGAGTATCTCTTTGTTATTGTAGTCATGGCTTCTTTTCCCACTTTCAGTGGCTTTATTTTCATTCTGGGTACAAAAGGAAAGCCCACAAAATGTATTTCACAACAGAATAAGAAAAACATCGTTTGCCTCACTGCTACTTTTGTACTGACCCAAGCTCTACAGCGTCAAACTAAGTGGCTTATTGGATGAGAGAAGCACTGATGTCCTGTGCTGAGTGGTTGGCATGCAGTGGCTGGTGACATTATTTTGGAAGTCAACTGAACTATAGCCTCAATTGAATCATCAGTGCTGCTATAGGTGTAGCTTCTGGTTACAGTTAGGAAAAATGCTCCTTGAAGTGGTTCTGAGGAGCACTAATGCTGTTAAGAGTTCTGCAGCTGAGGAGGGGGTAAATTTTCACTGAAAAGCAACAAAAGATAAATCAAGCGATGCTAGTTTCTGAAACCACCATGGCTATTTGCAAAATAAACACATAGGTCAGATGCTTTTTTCAGTGTCATGGTGCCTCAGTGATTTCCCTTATCTTACAAAGTCTCCTTGAAATCTTCTGTACTTCTTTTACAGTTTGTTCTTTAGATTTTTCTCTCCTGTTTAATCCTAAAACACAAACATTAGCAAGAACTCCTAGTATGCTCCAGGAAAGTAATCATTTAGGTGGGAAGGCACCTATGCTGCTCATAACTTTTAAATGAGATCAGATTGCTCAGGCACTTGTCCACTTGAGTTTTGACTATGCAAATGATGGAGATTTCACAGCTTCTCCAGGTGGCCTGGGACAACCAATCATGAGCTCATGCTTTTTTGTTGCCTTGAAAGCTGTCATATAAATTAAGACAATATATGGTTTCAAACAACACACAGTACAAAAAATGTTGCCAGAACTAGTGGATATGCATCAGTTATTGCCTCCATTCTCAATCAAATATGATATCTAAAAAATCCCTTTGTGATCCAAATAAATAAAGTATTTTTTGTTTCCTAACATGAAGTGTGTTAGAGCCAAAAGAGCCTTAATCAGCTGTCTAGGGAATCAGTCTTTTCACTGGCATCATAAGGCCATACATTTTGTTCATAAATTTTTTTCCATTCCAAGCTGGGAGGAGATTGAAAAGATGAACCTTTTATATAAAGTTTGTGCATCAACTGAAGGACAAGTATTTGCAACTTTCCTGAGAGCAGTTGTTGTGGAAGAAATGTTTTATATGCTCTTAATAGCCCACTAGTGAAGTTGTATTGAAGATCCTAGGACAACGAAGACTTTTCCATAAGCAGTGATTGTTGGATCTCCTAATTAATTGTATATTTGAGGTAAAGACATTTATTTCAAGCTTTTTCATAAAAGCTTCCAACTGAAGCTATCTACAGTTTATTCAGCATTCACACTAATGGTTGTCAGATGCTCAATAAGTATCTTTTCTTAGCATGACTAATTTGGGATTTGGGGAGATCTGACTGTTAAATTCTTT